AGCCAGTCTAGAGAGGACCCCTGGGGGCAGGGGTGTGCAGCCTGCTGATCAGGACTCCTGTCCCCTCCCCTCTTAATTTCACAGGGCTTTGGCAGTGGAGCCCCTGGCTTAATGAGGTCCTCTCCGCTAAGGATGACCCCCCCCATGTGGAACAGGTTAAGCACAGTCCTGCTTCCCTGCATTCCCACAATAATCACAACATTGATAACAGCATTTCACTACCCACTGCATTCAGTACTGATGTGATTTGCGACCCAACACCAGCCAAGTTGATTACAATGAGCAAAACACCATTGCATCTGCTGAATATCTAAGCAAAGCAGGAGCAAACTGTATTCACATAACCACACCCAGAGTCTCTCCCCCTCCCAGCTAGCCATCAGGGAAGCATTCATTCAGACTCTGCTTACATCCTGCCCCCAGCCTAGAATTTGTCGTCCCGGCAAATCATGATCCAGATTATACCAACTGCATGAGTTCTCCACAAAGGGTCTGAGGAAATCCATTATGGCTGCCACAAGCCTGTGAGCTAAGTGTACCACTTCCTCACTAATCACTCCCGGTGGATCGTAAGTTAGCCTGTTTACTGGCCTTATAACCCTGTTGTGCCTATTGAGAGTGGGCATGGCAGTGGCAGTGGGGACTTCTTCTGGGAATAGGGATGATGAGGGTTCCCTTGAGGGTATCCCCTCTACTGGTACAGACCCCTGCATCTCTTGCTCAGATACTGGAATGTCCAGGGCACCAGGGATACTTACCACTTGTATGTCCCCTCTGTCCAGCAACCTAGGTGTATCATCACAGGTCATGGTACATCCCATAATTCCCCCACAGGTACTTGGAGGTTTCTATGTACCATCTTTATTTGCCCTAGCCCTGTCTCAGGTTTAATCTTGTAGACCGGCAGATCTCCCAGCTTTACCAAGTAAGGTATTGCCTTCCATCTGTCAGCAATCTTATGTTTGCCAGCAACACCCAGATTTCGTAGCAGAACTCTGTCTCCTGGCTGGAGCTCCTGCGAACGCATCCTAGCATCATACTGGTGCTTGTTACTATCTGAGTTCTTGTGGGCAGCAGCCATAGTCAAGCGATAAGCATCCTGCAGTTTTTCTCTTAGTCGGGAAACATACTGCAGATGTGTCTCATATCTTTCTCCATTCTCTGATACCCTGAAGCACAGGTCTATGGGTAATCTAGGCTCGTGCCCAAACTTCAAGAGATATGGGATGACTCCTGTAGCATCATTCTTCATGGCATTGCAGGAATGCACCAAAAACACAACATGCTGGCTCTAGGTTGCTTTCTGTTCTGGACGTAAACTCCCCAGCATATCTAACAGAGTCCGATTGAATTGATCTGGCTGAGGGTCACCTTGCAGGTGGTAAGGTGTTGTTCTGGACTTCTTAATTCCTGCCATCCTTAGCACCTCCTTCAGGGGGTGACTCTCAAAGTCCTGTCCCTGGTCAGAGTGTATCCGATACGGGAATCCATACACTGAAAAATATTTCTCCCAGAATACTCAAGTAACTGTGGTGGCCCTATGGTCTTGTGTGGGATATGCCTGTGCATACCATGTAAAATGGTCAGTTACTACTAAGATGTTCCCAACATTCCTCCTGTCCACTTCTAAAGACAAAAAATCAATGCATACCAGCTCCAAAGGTTTGCTGCTTGTGATATTCTTCACGTATGCTGCTCTAGTGGCCAGAGTTTTCCTTTGAACACACCAAGCGCATGTCTCAAATTTCTTGTGTACGTCCTCAGCCATAAGTTCCAGGGTTCTCTCCATTCCCAAATGTCCAAAGTCATCATGCAACCAGCAGGGTGGTGGTGGAGAGGTGTGATGAGCGGCCAGCAGGGTGGCGGCGGCGATGTGTGATGAGCAGCCAGCTGGGTGGCTGGTGGAGGAGCAGGACGATAGTGGTGAGCCAGTGGCCAGGGCTCTGTACTCTTTTGGTAGCACTAGTTGTGTTTGCTGATTTTGTAAAGGATCTGCTGTGATCTGGTGCAGCACTCCTTGTATCAGTTTTAGTTTGCTCCATTCCCTCAATAGTAGTCTACCCTCAGGGATAGATGGAATAATTGCAACAGCGTTTTGCCCCTCTCTTTTTGCAAGTTGTGGGTCACGAATGTCAGTATCTTGCAGTTGGACTTTTTGCCAGTGAGCAGCATTGAGCATGGGCAGCGGAGACTGGTCCAACACAATATAATTCACAGAGGCAGATGGTACACTTTCAGGGGGCAGGCCCAGAGTTTCTGCAACACAACCATGAAGACTCTTACGGGTCCCTGACTCTTGATAACTTCCATTGCAAATAGCTCTCACTCCATCCATAGGAATCACAGCAATTTCTGATGGCTGCGGACGCCATGACAATGCATCCGCGTCTACATTGCTTCTCCCTGATCGATATTGAATGCTGAACTCATAGCTAGCCAAGGTGGCTACCCATCTCTGTCCTATAGCACTTGTCAACAGGTAAGTCAGCGGATTGTTGTCTGTCCACACTTGAAACCTAGCTCCATACAAGTAGTCATGAAACTTCTCAGTGATGGCCCATTTCAAGGCCAAGAACTCCAGTTTGTGGATGGGGTAGCGAGTTTCACTATCAGACAGCCCTCGGCTGGCAAAGGCCACAGGCTTATGTTTGCCTTCAACTTCCTGGTATAGGACCACTCCTAAACCCTCCAAACTGGCATCTGTATGTAGGATAAATGGCTTGCTTGGGTCAGCAAAGACTAGGACCGGAGCATGAGTTAGGCAGTTAATGATTTCTCGAAAAGCCCTTTCATATCTCTTGTCCCATCATGGTCCAAAGGGCTCTAAGGGGACATAGTGTCTCTGTTCAGGAGGCCTTGGGGACCTCCCCTTACTCTTGGTTTTACACCTGCTCTTGCTGGATGGGTAAGATCATTCAGAGGCTTTACGATGGTAGCATAATTCTTTACAAACCTGCGATAGTAACCATTAAATCCAAAAAAGGTCTTAAGCTCTCTGTAATTACTTGGGTGTGGCCATGTAGTGTGTACTTCTATTTTATCCGGATCAGTATTCACGCCCTCTTGGGACACGATGTGACTCATGTACTTCACTGATGTTCTGCAGAACTGGCATTTATCAATGGAAAGCTTCAGTCCATAGGCCTCCAACCTATCAAGCACTTTAAGAAGTCTTTCTTCATGCTCTTCCCAGGTCCTTCCAAATACAATCAGGTCAACCAAATAAACCAAGACTTGCAGTAAGTTCATGTCTCCCACAATTTTCTCCATAAGATGTTGAAATGTGGCAGGTGCCCCAGAAATCTCTTGA